TATCCCGGCCATCCTTTTCTACCGTAAATATGCTTTTTTGGAGCAAAATTATTTAGTTTATATATTGATTGATTGATTGATTGATTGATTAGGATCAAGGAAGGCAGCACAAACACCTGTATCGTCTATCTTGCCTTTTATCGACATTCAAGCAACCCATAGTAGACGACTGTCGGGAAAAATTCTTTTCAGTAATTATCCCGACTGAGAAAAAGACTCGCCCTTTTATTTTGAGTTTTGCATCGGTCCCTCACCAAACCAGCTTATTATTCATGCCAGCTTTGGAAGTGTAGTTGCTACGATCCCTGTGCATCTGGTGCTAGCTCACTAACCACATGATGTACTTTCCTGTAAAATTTTCAGGAAGGCGAATTCGCCGGAGAGCAACACAGAGCAACGCTAAAGCGCCGCCTGTACGCCATGCTTGGACGACAGTGGTTTTGCCAGAGAGGATGACGCAACGTCTGAATACTGGGACAATTTCGGCATCGTCGAAGCGTCGCTGCCGGGCCTGAGTCTGGAGACAAGCGTCACAACTCAGCCAGAGGAGCCGATCATCACCGGAAGAAGAGTTGTGTCGCTGGCCCATTTCGTGAACGCTGTTCGTAGTCTCGACGACCACAGCTGTCCTAAGCTGACTGGACGTTTTGCACTCGTGAAAGAACGGAGAGTGGGGCTCTGGTCGGAGCTCACGTTTACCTGCAGTGAATGTCAGGAAATCAGAAAGTTGACGACTGACCCCATCACAGAACCAACGTCCCTCACTGACAAAGCAAACATAGGAGTCAATGATGCTGCTGTTTGGGCATTCATGAGTATCGGATCGGGCCACTCACAGTTCGAGGAAGCAATGGCAGTCATGGAAATTCTTGCTATGAGCAAAGGGGCTTTTCTACACCGGGAGGAGTCCCTGGGAAAGGTAAATAAGCTGATAAATATTTATTTTTCTCTTTCTGAAGACGATGGAGGATGTACAGCACTTTATTTTTAGTAAAATTCACGTGAAGCGACAGTGGCACGTGCATGGCAAGCGTTTTGAACGGGAGTACGGCACGATGAGAATTTCTCTGCAACATTTCGTCGTATACAATGAAACAAAGAGTCTCTCAGAAGAAAACTGTTTGAAGAAAATGGCCACCAGCAGCATAAGCGCAAGGAATCTACGGTGAACGACTCAATGATTCATTATGGTCCGAATTGCCAGCAGCCAGACATGCCACCAGAGTAATATGCTGAGAAACAACGGGCTGTTTTAGAGAGCCTGCAGGTGAATGAGAAACAGCAGATGGAAATTGAGAAGGCTACTCGAGGACAGGCTGATAATCCTACATGGCATTTTGAAAGAAACATGCGCCTAACGGCGTCGAATTTCTATGCAGTATGCCGAAGGAGGGTGTGGACACCGTGTGACACGCTCGTGAAGACCCTGCTCTATAAGAAAAATTTCACCAGTGCCGCTCTTGAGCATGCATGGAAGACAACAGGAACGTGTCGCACTTCGGTTATACGAGCAAGAAATGGAAACTGCTGTGCAACCTTGCGGGTTATTTGTTTACCCAGAGTACGGATTCTTGGCGGCGTCGCCAGACGGATTAATTGCGAGCGACGGTATCGTGGAGGTGAAGTGCCCATTCACTGCGAAGGACATGGAGCCATCCGAGGCAGCTAAAAAGTACAATCAAAGGAGCCAAGTACACGAACCACCCAAATTGAGCCGCTCTCATAACTATTTCTACCAAGTGCAAGGCCAGCTGCATATCACTAAAAGAAGTTTCTGCCACTTCGTCGTCTGCACGTCGAAGGGCATCCACGTACAGCGGATCGAAAGAGATAATGACTTTTGGAAATTCGGAATGCTTCCACAACTAATCAGATTTTACAGAGACTGCATGTTACCTGAAATTGTAGATCCCCGTACTACGCGCAGCATGCCCATACGCAGACCACAGTGGAATGTGAAAGCAATTGAGTCACACCAGCAGTCTAAACGAGCTTCGATGAAGAACAAGGAGGCAAAGCAGAGTGGCGACTCGGACATTTTCCACAGCCTTGAGTCGTAGGACTGCTGGGCGCGTGCACTGTGAAGAAATTCACCAATTGGGACGATGCTACCTAATGGTGATTTTGAGCGCACTTTCGTGTTGGGGCAACTCCAAGTACGTCTGTAGTTTCGGCCATGTGCAGTTGTAGCTATTTACATATTTCCACGCAAATTGCCAGCGCTCGAGCGTTACGCATACCACTTTGTGCATTGCAGGCGTCGCGAACCAAGCGAAATGCCGAGAGCCCCGTTACGACAAGCGAAGTCAGCCGCAGTGCACGTGCCAGCCCTGCACGCGCGCGAGCTGCGACCGGGGGGGGCTAGCGAGCGTGACGGAGGAAGAAGGTGAGGTTAGAGGCCATGGAGTGGCGAGTGACATCGGCAGACTCCGCGTTCGCTCTCTTTCATCCTTGTTCGCTCTATTGGTTACGCCGACGACGCCAACAGGCGCCGCCGCTCAACGCAGCAGTATGTGCGTAAGAGCTTCGCTCTAAAGAACTGCACATTAGGAGAACGACCTTGTATATGTCGAATGGCAGATGCAGGCTCAGATTTGACGATAGCAAAGACTCTTGTTCGAGCAAGCTATGAGGTAGCAATTCACTTCCTTGTGTCGCGTGTGTCATCAGCCATTCACGTGCGTTCTGCAGCAGCAATGACCGAGAGACATGACCACAGAAGCTCCAATGAACTTTTGTAAAAAGTTCGTGTGTGATATAGGATAACGGAAAATAATAATAAAACATACACCTTCATTCTCTGCTGTCACAAGTTCGCATCCGAAAGTCGTGATTATATGTACTTTTGCTTTGTGCGATTTCACATTTCTCTGAATGTATGCTTTGTAGTTCTGTGGGCTTTTTTGTGTGTGTTATGTTCAGGTGTCTTCGTGGCTGTAACCAAGTGCTGCCGACGCTCGTTTCGTACTAAATAAATTGTCACAACAACGTGTATTGACTCAATCTTGCTTACTGCATGACAGCCCTTCATTGCATAGCATATACACAACACTAAGACTCGTTGCTTGAAGATATGTTAGCCGACATAGTTAATTGAATTGACCAACCATGCATCCAAAAGCCTTATCCAGTGCGACAAGACCTTTTCTTCAACTCCTTTGCAACTATTGTATTTGTGTACTCATGTTTTTGCCTTGCATGCGCTTTACGAACTCGAAATGGGTACGACATAGAAGTAATACAAGCAGCGGCTGTGTAGAAAGATGCATGGGAGATGCACTGTATCATAAGTCTTCCCCTCCCTTGTTGCACTCCTGGGAGGTTTGTGTGAATCCGCCCCAGTTTTTATCATGAGATGTTTATAGAGCTTGAGGTAACGGCCTCGAATCTACGAGCTTGCAGTCAATAACTGATATAGGCGAAACGATCACTCTTCATGTTATTGCCACGACCTTTACAGGAAAAAAAAATGATGTTGAAATAGCGTACGCGAATAGAGAAGTCGTTCTTTGGACAAGGGAATAACGCACCTGGACCATTCAGGTCACGCATGTGCGAGTCTCGCTCATATGACACACAAGAGGTAATTGCTTCATTTGCGTCATAAAAATAGTTTGTTGACTAGTCCGACGCTTTGCGTACGGCAACGTGATAATTAAACGCTGCATCAACCAAAACATGAATTCATACTAGCCTGCTGAAGTTTCAATTCTAATGAAATAAATTACGCTACGTATAGTGGGGGAAAATAATGATTATGCATTCGGCATGTGTTGGGCACCATGAGTCACAGCGGCCGCACTTCTTAGCACGCGATTTGCCTAACTACCCGTTTTGTTTTGTTTTGTTTTGAAAATTCGGAAGCTTAGGTCATACTGGGAAGGAAGTATACATAGTCAAATATAATTTGCCTTCTCCTGTCCCACCGAACCGCATCATGCTCCAGCAACCCCAATTATATGTAGAACGAACTGTTCCGTTGAACCTCGCATGAATACTCATAGTCCAAGTTTTGATCTCCGTTGTATACATTGTTGTGACCTCCGCGATAGAGTTTTTCACTCAACCCCGCATTCCGGCACTGTATGGAACGTAGAGCAGCTGGCCAAGCAGACTACGCAGCCTACATGAGGGATCTCTTGAAAAGCAGCGACCGCAGGGGTCAGGGGCTAGTGAGCATGGAGAGAGATGGAGGTGTCGTTGAAGGGGAGAAAAAAAAGCCCCTGCTCAGTGCCTCATTTCTTCGAACCGTGTCAGCGCTGAAGGGGAGAAAAAAAAAAGCCCCTGCTCAATGCCTCATTTCTTCGAACCGTGTCAGCGCGATTTGCACCCCCTCGTCATGCAGTGTGGCGCGCCGGCACACGTGTGGCAGTTCACCTCCGAAATGTTGGCCTTCCAGTCCTGACTTGGTGGCGCCGTCTGGTGTTTTTTCCAGAACTACTCGCAATATGGCGACAGTAGGACCGCCACCTTAAGGGAGCCTTGTGTGTGTGTTTGTGTGTGTGTGTGTGTGTGTGTGTGTGTGTGTGTGTCTGTGCGTGCGTGTGTGTGTGTTTGTTTGTGTGTTTGTTTTCTTGGACGGTCGGAAAAAAAGTTACGAAGGCTAGGTGGTGTTTAAACTTAGCCACCTAGCACGAACAAAGGAATGATGACGTTGATTTTCTTGAAAATAAGTCCAATTTCAACAGCATATACTAAATTGGGGTGCTTGCTTAAAACTCGCTGTTTCTTAATTTGCTTCATAAATCGGCTCGATGGGTTTTAGTGTGTTACTTCTTAGTTAGTGTGCTACTTCTTAACTTGAATGTTTAGAGAAAATCTTTTCACGCCAATTGAAGTACGCTGCTTTTCCTTAAATTATGTCGTCGTGTTGGCGTTCGCCTAACTTGCTGCAGTGAAGCGAAGTTTTAGCCACAAAACTTACGACGTGTGCATGTAGATCAGAACGTTTCAGTAAATGTCATGGCATGCTCTTTTTTCTTTTTTTTATTTTCTTACAGAAATACATGCTCAGCCTTGTGAAGCCAAACTACGACCGCCTCACGTGGAACGAGGAAGAAGGAGAATCCATCCTCACTACGTGAGACTCGTTTCTGGTTGCTTTATTTTCCGCTTATACGCCTGCACGACGTAACCCTCTTGGTAGTCACTGCCTGGATTTTGGCAGTCGCCGAAATGCTCTGTTCTCTTCATCTGTCTCTCTCAATCTCATAAAATTTATGGGTGCCATAATGCAAGTTACCGCAGCGTATTTAGCGTGCCATTTTGTTTTCTTTCGATGGATCATTCCCGTACAGCATAATTTCGCTATTTCGGTGTAGTCCGCGGCATGCACCGGATAACAGCATGAACTGTTTGAGGAATACGTATACATTGGAGGCCGAATCCCACTCTACACCAGCAGATTGAGTTTGAAGTCGCAAAGGCCTGTTTTGTAGCTAACATGAAATTCTTGGTCACATATAGCACTTTCAGTATCTTTCATCCGCAGCCGGCGTCGACAATTTGCGGGACCCATTGAATATGTACGAGAAACCCTTAAACACTGCGATTATTTCCAAATTGAAGCTTAAATTCAATTTCAATAAATTGTGTATGAGGCGAACATTGAATCTGTGTTGCCTTGGATTGTCAGTGCAATACACCTTTCGTGGAACGAAAGGTGAAATTTCAATACGTATTCTTTGACGTTATGTCACCGCTTCATTGCTATAGCTTTCATCACCCTCGCTGAAAAACGACCTTGCCATTGAAGGGCGGCAATTCAACAGCCCCTCTATTAAGAATGGCGCGAATATCGAGAGTCGGACGGATTGGGCTGCCTCTCTTGTCTGGGATAACTGTTCACTGCACCGCACCACAGACCGCACCACTTACGCTTCCGCAGGTTCCTGCGCAGCGAAATGTATGCGACGGCGTGCGAGTTGGACCACGAGGACTGCGTCAAGGAGGCGCTCAACTACTTCCGCACCTGGAAGGAGAGCAAGGCGGAGAAAAGCCCGTGAGTGTTTTGTGCCGGTCATATCACTTGGTTTCGGCGCGAATACTCATTTCACAAGGATTGCCCGCTCGGCAAATCAACATGTCACGAATCGATTGATTGATTGATCGATCGATTGGTTAATTGATTGATTGATAAGTTCTTCGAAGCTACAAATAAGTTATGAGTGCACTTCTGCGTACAGTGACTACAGAGAAGACTTCATGTAAGGAACGCACAAATTACAAACTACCTAATAGCACTACTAAATTGTTTCAAATGCGGCGGTTGATGTCTGCTTCCAATGGCATCTTTTGCCACAATAGAACAAGTTGTGGACGTATCGTAAACACGGCCCCGCCGTGGTTCTAGTGGCTAAGGTACTCGGCTGCTGACCCGCAGGTCGCGGGTTCGAATCCCGGCTGCGGCGGCTGCATTTCCGATGGAGGCGGAAATGTTGTAGGCCCGTGTGCTCAGATTTTGGTGCACGTTAAAGAACCCCATGCAGGTGATCGAAATTCCTGGAGCCCTCCACTACCGCGTTTCTCATAATCATGTGGTGGTTTTGGGACGTTAAACCCCACATGTCAATCAGTCATCAATATCGTAAACACGAGATTTTCTATTGGTGGGCGTTGGCGCAGATGAACGTAGTCCGTCTCTTGGAAGCAGATATGTACGTACACCGCTCAAGGGGCGCGTTCCGATTGCAGGGCACATCGTGGCTATTTCTCGGGAGTGCTAACCCGCTCGCCTACCGATGACTGAATTGTTGTTGTGTTTCAACTCTTGTCGCAGCATCAAACCCAACTTCCGCTCCTTTGTGTACTGCACGGCGATCGCGAACGGCAACTACGATGACTGGCTGTTCATGTGGGACATGTACAACAAGACCTCCGTGGCCTCGGAGAAAGTGAAGCAGCTGCAAAGCTTGGCCTGTTCCAGGGAACCATGGGTCCTCAACAGGTGTGTGTCTTCTCTGTCAGCATTGAAGCATGGTGGTTGCCCACCAGGGCTGCTACTCTCAGGCTGCACTCCAGGTGAAAAAGACGTGCTGGCTGCAGAACCGGCGGGAATTCTTACTCCGCAGTCTTGGCCCGCAGCCACAGCTGCCAGTCGATGCGTTTTTCACAAAAAATACCGGCGTCACATGGTGTGAGGCTGATCGCGATAAATCAGGATAGGCTTAAAGCTTTTTAACAGTGATTGGCTCACTTTTGCAGCTTGCGACGATAAAGAAATTCAATCCAGATCAAGCTGAATCGCGATTAGAAGTGACCGTGTGACCGCAGTGCAATCCAGCAATTCCTATGCTCAGCCGTGTCTGTTTACTTACTGATGTAATCATGTAACGGATATATGCCGTCTTTGCAATCGTTGTTATCGTAACCATTTATAGCTTAAGTTCTGCAGTCAACTCGAACAGTTGGGTGCCTAAGATCTTGAAGTTTTGCGAACAGCACTTAGGAGTTGCTTGAATTCATTCGGCCACGTTTTTCTTTCTTTCTTTCATTTGTTTATACGTACTCTAACCCTGTTCGGTTGGCTATAAAAGTTTGTATGCAGTGCCTAAGTTACTGACAGGGGTCGTGAAACGGTCGCTCCTCAAACGACACTGCATAACCGCCGGCAGCCACACGCACTGACTAGGTGACGTTTTAGGTGACGTCAGCGCAAGAAAAGTAGACCTCCGTGAATGAATATCGTGGCAAAGCGTCTCCATGCAGGCCTAAGGATTGAGCGCAGTGAGATGAACTGCAGCTAACGCAGGGAGGTTAACCGGAAAGCAAGTATCGGGTTTGATACCCTTCACTCGGGATGGGGTAAATGGAAACGGAAAAGTAAAGAAAACGGGAATGAGAGAGGGAGGGAACGATTGTGACACACACTGGAATGGCACAATCGTTCGACCGAGGTGGGTCACTCACAGCAACTTAAACAGCGCCTTCGTCATCACCTATTCAGTGTGTGAGGCTGTCGGTGGTTCTGCGCTGCTGTTTTTATTTTTATTTACAGATACTGCAGGCCCTACCCGGGCCCATGCAGGGATTGTGATACAAACAATACAGGAGTGGGATACAAACAATACATTCAAGCAATAACTAGTAATTTAGGAGCAATAACTAGTTTAAGAGCGACCTTTTCACGACCCCTTTAATTAACCATACCAAATTGCTTTCTTGATTTTTTTTTCGCAAGCTGCATCTCGCGCACACTTGGTTCCCACGATTCCTCGGCTGTGCGAAATTGCACCAACGCCAAATGTATTTTGCTGATGCACTTTGGCAAGCTCCTTAGTACAACTGGTGTAAAAAGGTGTCGTGATAACGTTATCGTGATAACCGTTATCACGCGTGCGTATCGTGACTGAAAGGTAAAAGCCGTAATGCTGTGTAATATCTTTGCAGATTTGATCGCTCGGTTTTGGCCTTATCGGGCGATCGACATTTATAGCACTGTCGCGGTAACTGAAAACGTCCTTATATGCATAAATGTTACCACGATAACTCTGCCGTGCTGACGCGTATATACAGTGACGCTGCCGACCACGTTGTTATATGTATAGTCGAGCATGCTCCCGTGCCATGAGCACTGCTATATTTTCCTAACAAATATATAGATAGGCCGATTTGCGGTGTTTACCTTTTTGAATGAATTTTCCTGCGATTCGCAGCAGTACGTTATAATAAATGGACCCGGTTTTCGCAAAAGCGCTGATCGTATAACCAGTAGTGTGGCTCTGCATGTGATGTGGGGACAACAACAATAACAAAAAAAAAACACATGACCGACTCACGAAAGTCATGGTTATGCGTCCTTCGGTCAGCATCTGTTATCGCTTCGCCGGCTGCTCTGCGATTGCCGACCAATTTTAGTGAAGATGAAACAATTCCTCGTAGTGTGCAGTGGACGCAGATCGTATACCGCTGGTCTCTTGCTTGAGCGAAATCGAGTCATCCGCATGTGGGCTTTCGCGCCCTCTTCTTTCGAGAGAAAAACTTAACCCTGATTTTTCCTTCCGGTCAGATCGCAGTTAAAAATACGTCTCTACGAAAGAAGCGCCAGAGGAGAAAACTTCGGGCAGCATTTGCTTCGCGGTGGGGTGTCAGAAACAACAATCGCCCTGGCTCGCCGGGGGCTATTGAGTTTCCCAGAAGAAACTCGGCGCGTTCCATTAAACTTGCGGTGGCCCAGTCGCCCATATTTCACGCGGTGGAAATGTTTTAAGAAAACGAATTCGCGCCTTTATCCAGCGCCCCTTCCCTCCTACCTCGCCGCTTCCTAGGCAACACGAGGACGGTGCCTCGATGGTGCGAAAGGTAAGCCGTCCGCGAATTTAGAGCCGAAAGCTGTTTGCACCTGCATTCCCTTTCACCGAAGAGATTGAAAGCAGTGAATCTGCGACCAAAAGACATTTTAAAAGGCGGAAAGCTGTTCTGCAAATTGCAGCAGTGAGTTTCCCCCCTAATTAACGTGGAGGTACAGGTGATCAGGCTAACGAGGTTGGGGAAATAACTTAGAGTCGTTTTATTCATAGCATGAACGAATGTACGCGTTATCGACCGAGAACGGTTGAAAGGCGTGTCTAAGTTGAAAGCCACCGGCTCGTCCCGAAATGCCGCTTTTTTTTTCTCGTTTTGTGGCCCTTTGCGCGCTGCACCTGAAACCTGTCACCGTATTGCGAGTTGCATGTAAAAAAATGCGTTTTTAATTACAGGTGTGCATATATACGTACACTTGGAGCACGGAAGCCGCTGAATGAAGGCTTATCAAATGTCGTGTCTAAGTTAAGCGCATTGTTTAGTGTAGGTCGTGACACGAGTACCTGGCGAGTGACGTGGGGTACCTGCAATTTCCAGCACTTTTGACAAGAGAGCATTCTGCAAGTTCTGCCCGTGCAAGTCCAAATATGTTCTCTGTGGTCACTTTCGAACAAACTGTCTCGTCGCGGCAAGAGTATAGTGATTTTGTTATTGTCAACGTGCAATTTACTATTGCTAATATGAGAAAGAAATGTTTAGCGTCACTTTAACAGCTTTAACGAGCAATGACGCTGTGTCTTCTCTCAGTTTCCTGATGAAGACGATCACGCCCGACTCCGGCGTTCGCCGCCAGGACGGCGGGGCGGTCATCAGTGCAGTCGCTTCCACTGTCTTCGGTCGCAGCCTCCTCTTCAACTTCTTGCTCGAGAACTGGGAAGCCATCTACAAGACGTAAGTGGCTTGTGAAACTATAGTAACGCCCAAAACGTGGCGACCACGTGACAAATATGTGCATTCTAGATTAGATCATTATAATCGTCACGGAACTCTTCCGAGAGAAGCAGTAATGGTGGTATTACAGTAAGTTATTCACGCATGTGCATTCTACATGCTCAGCAACCAGGGTGCGGGCGTGCCCAATGCCGTAAGCTGACAATCTCTGTTTAGAACATTGCGTGGTGCGACCACCATTACCAACGGCCTTCAATATCGCGCAATGATTACACGGGCGCTTACTGTGTGGCTTGATCGCCTGCACAGTGTTTGTGTCGGCTCATATCTTGTTGCATATAGCGTATATTTTTAAAAAAATGCTTGCATTGGTGTGCATACTAAGCATGCATGTATACCTAACGCAGAAGCACGTCATACGGCCTAAAATTGCAGTGATCAGGTATTTAACTCTCTCATAAGATAAAAGGAAATGTGCGGATCTGCATGATCGGAAGTTAACAGAGCAATGGTCGAAAAGTTAACAAAGCAATTAATGGTCGAAACGGCAATCGCCACAATATGTGTCCTTTTTTTTCTTTCTTCTTCTTCTTTCCGTTGCTGCAGCTATTCCGCCGGCGCATTCTCTCTTCCTCGCATCTTCGGTGCAGCCAGTGGCTCGATACATTCACGCTTCCAGCTGGAGATGGTAAGTCTCTTTTCTACAAGTGCATACATCACAAAAGTAGAGACTGGTAACTGGCTCGATACATTCACGCTTCCAGCTGAAGATGGTAAGTCTCTTTTCTCCAAGTGCATACATCACAAAAGTAGAGACTGGTAAGGGTATACTTTCAAGGTGTACACCTTAAAGCTGTTACCATGTGTATAACTCGGAGAACGGCTAACACACCTCCAAGTTTTATTTTTAAGAAATCATCCTACACTTCCTGGGATTGCGCAGAACTGGCATGCGACTGATTTAATGTACGTGATATAAAGCAATTATTGTTATTTCTTGCGGTTCGTACGTGATATACAAGAATTTAGCAGTGTGCGTCTGTAGTTTCGAGTCGTTCCGAACTATTCTTGTTACTTGCGGTTCGTTTTATTTATTCACTTAGATAGGTTTCTTAACATGACACGCAGGTGATCATATTGCTCTGTATCTTTATACGGAACCTTACGGCAACGCCGACGTCGACGGCAAAAATGCGTTTGGACTGTTCATATAATTACTATCACTATGTAATCTTCAAAATCGTTTCTACGATTCAAGTCGTACTTGAAGAGTTATTAGCATGCGCTGAGAAGCGCTTTTCATCATCACTATGTGGTTCTTTCTTTCTCGTGCTCTGAGGAACGCCGACGAAATGGTAAATAGTTTGTGGCATTGTACTGTTACGTTGCACTTTCAGAACCCAGTTTACAGAGCGTTCTCTTCGTACTATATGTTATACGACGAGCTCTATTCAGACTTCGTTAATATATTCAGCGCCAGTAACGGTACAATTTTTCACTTACGGAACGTAAGAGAGAACTTGACCAATGCTGATGTGCGAGACGTTGGAGAACAGTGGTTGCATTCATAGGCGTACGCTTAAGGGGGGCAGGCGCAGGGGGAAGAGAGGGGGGCGAAAAGTCAACCCCATACATTGGCATGATATAGATGGGGTTTAACAAACCCTCGCCCCCCCCCCCCCCCCCGTAGGGCAACCCTGCGCACGCTTATAGTTGAATTCTGGTTTCGCCATATACACCGGCTGTTTTTATTTGTTTTTTCACCCTCGTGTAGCTCGGCGTGTTCTACGAGAAGCACAAGGCGAGTGTGTCGGCGGTGGGCCGGACCTACAAGCAGACCGTCGAGAAGGCTGAGTCCAACATTCGCTGGAAGGAGAAGAACTACGCCCGGATACGGGACTGGCTGAACGAGAAAATAAAGTAGCCGCCCAGCCTCGCTTAGGCATCCTAGGTTATACCAAATTGATAAAACTGAGATGCGCTTTCTTTTTTTTTTCTTCATTTGATGCCGTAGACATCCATTCGTCCGGCCGAATTTTGTGCAGCTAAACGGAGTTCTTATATTGAAGACTATGTCTGCTGCCCTTCAGTCCTCTGTACATTACTTGAATTGCCCCGCGAAAAATTCCTACGGTTGCGTTCCTCGGTTCTGGTTTGCAGTTGAGGATTGTGCCGGGTGCGTTGAGCGATTGTGCACATTGTTCCGCAAGTAGTGCTGCCTGAACGCTCCTCGTATTTTCATTTTTTTTCCCCTCTGTGCGCATGCTGACCAATAGAAAACACGGTCTTGTGACTGTCCTGCACTTGATGAAAAAAAAGTGTTTTAATCTGATTTTATTCCCGCTGACTATGCGCTGTAAGCTGTTAACGCATTTTATTGCACTTTTTATTATTTGTGCGTTACGTATACGTGTCATTTCGATAGTGCCGATTGGAGTTTTTTTTTTTTTTTTACCTATGTGGAGGGGCAAGTACGTGCTGCGACTTATTGCACTTGTTTTCACGCCCTTACAATTTTCTTGAAACGCTGCCTCGAATCAAAGTGGACGGTCGTAGCTGTTTCAGATATACTTGCTGTAAATGTCACTTCATGATTCCTCCCCTTTGGTTTAAACTAAGGCGCCTTTGGTTTAAACTAAGGTCAAGTGAAAGTCGCGGGTGACGTATTAGTAGCCTCACGGTCAAAGACGGCTCCAGGATTTCCTTACTGGGGGGTGGGGGGGGGGGCATTGACGATTACCAGGTTTCGTCAGGGGAGCACGTAGACCGAGCAGCTATGCGTTGTGTTTAGACTCTGGTCTGTTTTTTTTTGGGGGGGGGGGTGGGGCGGAGGGAGAAGAAGCAAATGGGGGCAGGCGAAAACTTTTAGGGAGCACCAGTACCCTCGTGTCCCCTCCCCCTCTGGGCTGCTCGTGGTGGTCGGAATGGCTGCACGAGGTGCAATCGCATCATTATCACTTGTGTTTGCATATGTGTTTTGTTTTTGACAACATGGTTACACTTTTTTTTCACACTTTGACGGTATTTCTTAGCACTGCACTTCGCTTGTTGATAATTTAGAATTGATGTAAGCACACTGTATGCATATTCAGGTGTACGCTTGTATTTTTATTGCGGAGCTACAATACACAAGTTCTGTTTTCGCCGAGTTGTCGCAAGTTTTCCAGTCCGTGGTATGCACCATTGTTTGTGTTTTTTAAAAGAAATAGTAAATCATTGACCCGTCTTAGAAAAGGTTGTCAGGTTTGCATGAATATGTATGTATACTTTAAAACATTGCGCGTGGTATGCGAATGAATGCGCCACAAGCTTCCCAATGGCAGTCGTGCTTTTTCTCTGGCGACAAAGTTGTACAAAAGTTGTGTAATATATATACTGGCTTGCGTGTTCTTGGCGTAAGCTGAATGAATGCTGCGCGATTAACTACAACCGGGCACCAGGCAGTGTGAAAACGCGCGCAGTGCTTCTTCGTTCCATTAGTCTCGGCGCACATCTTCTTGCAAATGCCTTGCAGTTAACATGAAGTACGCCATACCGGGTTACTGCGCAGTACGATGGCATCTTTGCGCTGGTGTTGCTTCTGCCAGGTTCCCGGTGACAGCAATGACGTTTTGTGCAAGCCATTCGTAGGTTCCACTGTGCACGCACTGTGCTTGTAAATCCTATATTTTGTTTAATTCATAGTTGTTTTGAGTGTGTATAATTCCTTAATCTACGAAATATACATCTCGAACCACTACACATATCGCTGTTAGAGAAAGAATTTTCAGTGCACCGACTTTCGTGATTTTACCTCTGCTCTTGAGTGTACTTTATTGAATAGACTTGTTGATTCGTGGTACTTTCATGGCTTCGGCGGCGAAAGATGAGAACGAAAGTGAGTCATATTTCACCTACAGGGGTCGCTACTTGTCATCTGTATCATCCCACATTTTTGTCCTGTAAACTTATTGTAAATAAAGGCGATGAGCGTACATCATCTCGTGATTTCGATCATGTACTTTTCGCTGCGCGATAAATGAGACATGAACTGAAACATAAGACGTCTGACGGTTGGTGCTAGGACCTGACAAGTTCTTTTTTTTTTTTTTCTGGTTATACCTTTAAAAATTGGCAGGGTGACGGGGGGAGGGTAGGTGGGAATTCGCCGGGACATGCAGACCTCCTCTCTGGATCTATAATCAGGGGAGCCTACTCATACAGAGGTGAATAAGAATGAGATGGAGTACTTGCAGCATACACACGAACTTGTGACGGTCAATTCGACTGTCATTTTCGTTAAACAGGAAAGAGTACAACCATTTATGGTGTTTTGCAAGTGCTAACTTTAAGGTAGAAACGTGGACGATGAAAAGATGAGAACATACCGATAGCCGATGGTCATTTAGAGTTGGAATGGGTGCCAAGAGACGGAGCGTAGACCAGGTCGGCAAATGGTTATGCAGAGCGACGAATTTAAAAAATTCACCGGCATCAAATGAGTTCCTACTAACAGCGCTCCTCTTTATCCATTGCCTTGTCCTGTGTCTCGCTTACTTTTTACATGCTACGCTATCAGTTATGGCTTACTGCGACAGGGTTCGATGTTTCGAGATCACTGGGAAAAGGACTTCAGCACAGATAGGCCGACGATGATATGATGATGCATGGCAGGCCCGTAGCCAGCAATTTTTTTTTTTTTCGGAGAGGGCCTACTTGTGGACGACTTCGACTAGTTTAGAAAAACGCATATTTTTATTACTTATCTTGGACCCCCCCCCCCCCCCCTAATTGTATGGTGGTTTTTGGAAGTTAAACCCCACATATCGATCATTATTTCAGACACCCCCTTTCATTTGAATCTCGAGAGGGGTGCAGAACATGGTAGACGCTGAATGCACAAGTAGGCGTCAAAGTAAGGCACGTTTATTTTGCGATCAAATTGGTGCTCCAGGACGTCATGTGCGGCATTCTTTTTTTTTCTATTTTGTAGAGACATTTGTCGTGCAGCCAACATGTTGTGCGGCTTTGGGTTTGGTGACCGTTTTCTGTCTACCGACTCTTTCAAACGGTAAAGTGACCTGGTTACAATATAAAGGAACAGTAAATAGAAATTTTTTTTTACTGTCTTTTGCGAACAACCAAGTTACAATTTCACAATGCCACAAACACCGCTCGGAAGACCCTTAGTAACCGAGAAAACGAACGAAAAGAAAAGGCAGGTATGGCGACACCGCCTTGAAACTATCGCGCCAAACAGCGTGCCGCCATGGATTTTGGCGGCCTTTACGAGGCTAGAGCACGAGGCCGCACGTAGTTCCTCACAGCAAAAATGAAGTGCGTTGCCCTTACAGTCGGCCTTATAGACTTAATATACTAAATTTCTAGACGTTAGACTCTGCCCAGGTGGCGCTGCGAAAAACGCTGCCACCAGCGCTCTCATCGCCGCGGTGGCCGTAATCGGGTAGTGCAAAGAGACCCGTCCACAAACTAGCGCGCATAGGTGCTCCTCTATTTCTTTTTCTTTTCGTTTGTGTTGAGGCGTGGTTTCCTGAAAATCAAGAAGCTGGCAAGCTTGTGTCCGTCCAACATCGCTTCAGAAAAGTGGGAAGCTCATCAAAGCGAACTGTGGTACGTACAATGCAAAAGATACGGTAACACGGTCACGGAAAATATGCAGTAGCATGGTAACGTACAAGCTAAACGTCCCCAATGCCGGTCATGATTAAACTGAAGTCGGCGCGGGCACCGCGCCATCGTGCACGTAAAGTTGGCTTCGCCGGGTAAATTCGAACATTTGGCGTCACTTTGAACCACGTGACAGCACTCGCCGAATAGCGGCGTGAGCGGCGGAAGGAAAAGGTATAGACGTCAAGCCACGTGCGTCAAGATCTGCTCAGGCGTCACTGCGAAAAACGCTACCATCGCCGCCCCCATCGCCACGCCGGCCATAAATGGGTAGTGCACAGAGAGCCATCCGCAAGCGAACGTGCAGAGGCCCTCCTCATTCGTAGGCGTTGAGGCGCGGTTTCCAGAAGATTAAGGACCTGGCAAGCTTCTTCCTTCAATCCAACCTCGCTTCATAAAAGTAGGAAGCTCACCAGAACGAAAAGCGGGCACAATGCAAACTATGTTTCATTTATTTCGGAGTGCTGCAACTGGCAAGTTAAGTGCAAGAGAGGCAAGCACTCCAACGGGCCGGGCGATTTATAGCGCCTAAATGCGTTAAACTTGGGCGCACACATGATGCCAAAGCGATGAAGTGCGTACACGAGCAATCTATGCGGTCAGTGTTGCGATGCTCGCTTTGTCCGGCACGAATGGCTTTGGTGACTTTCGTTTTGCAGTTGCATTCTCTATCGATTTCTCGCTTCCTGTGCATTGAACTGTTTTATTACGCACGCTCGAATGCCCTGTTGACGGTTGTCTTCCGTTCTCCCGTTTGTATATACTGCAAATGGAGATACACGCGTGTCGACACTTTCAGTGTACAACAAAAGGCAAAACCGATGCCTCCGCGATAGCTCCGGTAATCGCGGAGACCAACGGCAATAAAAACTGCATGATTGTGGTCGCGATAATTTTGAGATTTACGTGTATGACGCGCGTGTCCGCATTTTCTAGTTAAAGCCGGGACTCAAAACCCTACGTACGTTAATGCTGTGTGGTGGGGACAACTTCAGATTATCGGTGGTCGCGGCGTGTGCGATGTTTATCCAGGGCGTCACCTGTCTACTGTTGCACGTCACGCACCGCGGTCAGAGGGTCTGTTAAGCTTCATAATCAAAGTTACCCCGGCCCTCCGTCAAGTCTACTCAAAACAATAACAGGAGACCTACATTATAGCACTTACTTAAACGAACGGCTGTGGTGAACGCGAGTAATATCGCTTACCCAACACGTTCGCAATGGCCTGTATTTAGCGCTCTCGCCCTTCTGCTTTGCGAAAGCTGCAGAAATCAGTAAAACTGAAGTCAGTTACGTCCTCGGCAATTCACATTACAACAGTAGCGCAGACTGGGATCTTTTTTCGTAGAGCGCGGAGTGGTTGCGTCTGCTTTAGTTTTCGCCTTCGTTCAGGTGAGTGAACCAGCAAGCACTCCACGACGGTACGGTGATGCGTCCGACTAGCGGAGGAAAATTCGTAGCTCTTTTTCTGGGGGTTCAATGAGCGAAAGCACCTAATATTTAGCTCAACCGTTGTTTCGTAGTTGCACCTGATTGCGCAGCAAACTGTGCAAGGGAGTGGGGCTGTGCACTACTCAAAACTGCGTCGACAGGTTGCGCTGCATGTCCGCAAAATTCCAGAGTCCGATGTCCCACACTCTGCTATCTAGGTCTCTCTGCTGCTACCTAAAGCATACCTAAGGTAGAATATGCAATAACCCTGGTAGGTGTTTTGTGCAGTAACTGTAATGTACGAAACTCTATGACGCCGATTTGAGCTGATTTCGGTTCTCAACTTAATTTATTTTAGAAAAATAATTTTAAATTAACTTTAATTTTTTTAGCAAAAAACTATTGTTTAAAGTCATTTTGAGTCAAAATATTTAACGCATTGGTTGTTAACACTTTTTAACTAGCCAAAAACGCTTTTCTGCCTGGCAACCACAACTTTAGTTGCGTTGATCGACGAGTAGTGGCGCTAGCGCGCAGACGTGAAGGCACTTTTCGTTTGTTTTTTGATTTTGTTATCGCTGGGGGCCCTTTCAACTGACGTGTACCGGTTAGGTGTATGTGGCGGCGGTAGCGCTCAGCGGTGCGGTTTGGGTTAGCAGTGCACATACGGATTTTTCTGTTTATCAGGGTCTTAGGGACCCACGACATTGTTAGCCAAACATGTTCGGCATGCTAGATGACCTCAAACGCATGAATAAGCGGCAGGTAAGCCCAGCGTTGCATTTTCACGCATGCTCCCGATGTGCGCTTACTACGGTGACGTCTTGCTCACCTGTGTAAATACAGTGTACATGAACTTTCTGCCTGATCGTTTAATGTTATGGAAGCGGAATGAGCTACCCTTAGCATTCTACGCTTTTGTTCGTGGTGTGAAGTGCTTCCTTTGGTTCGAGTTTCACCAAAGTGGCTCCAGTGGGGGAAGCCGGGCACTGCCAGATGTTTTGCGCTGCGAATGTCAGCAATTGCGCGGTCGTACACCCTGGTTCAATAATATTACGTGGCACTACAGCACTCTATGCAGTCAATACTTTCCTTCTGGTTATCTTACTGTCTCGTTACTGTTTTTAAGTGCATATTTTAATATCATGCATCTACGAAGGCACGAAATAGCCTGAAGGCTACATTCGGCCCCCAATATTCGCATTCTCTCACTTTCGTTCGTGCAGTGTGGACAATCGTATCAAGTGAAATTCAACCGTACCGTTTCCACGTATTTTTTTTTTTTTTTTTGACGGATTGCTTCGCTGGCTTCTTGCGCTTTATCGGTGCCTTCGCTTGCAACCATCTCCCGCTTTTCTGCGCCTTAATTATAACTGTGTCCACGTGCCAACCTGTTTGATTGGGCCAGTTATTTTTGCCTGATCTTCACATTTTGTCCGCAGCTTGTATACCAATTTTTAAACTTTGGTATGATCGTGTCGTCGGCCCTGATGATATGGAAAGGTCTCATGGTCGTCACCGGCAGCGGCAGCCCCATCGTAGTCGTGCTCAGGTAAGCGTCAGCATTGGATGGGTTCATATTAATATGCCATATCGACAATATAAAAACAAGAACTGTAGAAGTGTTGGACACGTACCACGTGACCGGAGAACATTGCACTAACTTTCAGGTGTGGCAGCGTAGCCGACTGCTTTTGTACGAAGCCCTGCAGTGGAGGCGTAACATATGTAACCAAACCACATTCGTGGGAAAAGAATGACCTGTGCATGTATTGTCATGGGCCCATCACTTTTACATGCTTGAAGTTACAGCACATCAAACACATCCTAGCCTACATGCTTCAGTTCATGATTTTGCTTTTTTTTTTTTCCAAGGTTCCTCGAAGTTTTATGTTATTGCTTTTACACAAGTTGCCTTGTCTGTCCTACTGCATTTCTACCGTGCAAAGTTGCTAGCCGCTGCACAGCTCTGCTGACACTTTATTGATAAAGTACTACGTTAGTACCTACCCTACTGAAAACTTGTTAGTTTGTTACATTAAAAAAATGTTACAAAAGAGCATTTGTGTGGTGGGAAAAAAACATAGAATACTATGTTAATATATATCTTGGTTGGCAAAATGCATAGCGAAGAGAAGCACAGCAATCGCCAGGAAAGAAAAAGAACAGGTTGTTTGGTTTCTGGTCTAAAAAGTTGGTTATGTTGATGCTTGTGCAATCCTCAAGTATTGCATGAACATACCAATTTATGCTTCACGAATGTGATGATTCGCTGAAAATAGTTCACCCAATTCGTTCTGGAGTACGGCCTTTCAGTAGAGAGAGAAAGTCTGCCTCCCCCTAGCCGTTGGCCGGAATCCCTTGATACATGGCAGCAGCTATGGTTTCACTGATGATGCCTTGCTGAACGCTGGGGTCTGAGCAGGGTTTCCTAGAATTTTACTGTGTGTGAGCTGTCATACTGAGTCAGACATATCAAAACCGTCCAGACTAAATTTGCTGCCTTGTCACAAGATTTGCACTACGACTTGAATACTTTTTGGTTCCACTTGCTATAAAGTATGGGGTTTGGGAAGACCCCAGTTTGTAATTTTCACTGCATAACCCTCTCTTTATTACTACACGATCCGGTCGCTTCTGGGTATACTTGCCGATTTAGCCTGTAGTGGACTGTGATTTCTTCTGTTCATAGATTCAGGTACTTGGAAGGTTTCGGGGGTCAACTGGTGAGATGTGAAGTCATCGAATGAACCTTCTCTTACCCTCTTAAGTCTCTAAAGAACTTTGCAGTGTTATGTAGTGACTGTTAAAAAGTATTAAGATTTTACCATAAAGTGAAGTAGCAAGAAATGGAACGCATTAATAAAGTTTAAAGTTAGTCCATTCTTGGCCTGACTGAAACTACTGCCGAGCTAAAGCATTCTCAATACACAAACTTTCTAAAATAATGCGTTCAACACTGCATGCTTTGCAAATTGTGAACCACACTTATAATTTTTTTTCCATCACGGCCAGTGGGAGCATGGAGCCAGCATTCCACCGCGGAGACCTGCTCTTCCTGACAAATTACAAAGAAGATCCCATCCGCGTGGGCGACATCGTAGTCTTCAAAGTGGAGGGCCGTGACATCCCAATTGTTCACAGGGTGCTCAAGCTGCACGAAAAGTAAGTCTGACTTATGTGAGGCAGTTGCTGGAGAAATGGGTTCGGTTGCATGTAAAAATTTCCAGGTCCCTCTAATGCTCTTCTGGTGAGGGCATTGCTAGGACCGTGTTGTGGGACTATCACTTTTGATCGCAGCGTTACTTTGTGGGCAAGGAATATAACACCTAAAACTGTCGGAGCAGACACTTCCCACCTCTTCTCGATCAGCCGATCACTGCACACTGAAAGCGATATTTGTGCAACTGAGTCTCTGAATACGGCCCTTGCAATAGTTCATAGGAGCTGGAACAACTCTTGTAGGTGGACTCGTGTTACGTAGTCTCAATACACTCAAACCACGATATAAAGAAATATTGCTTATAACGAAGTAAATGAAAAGTACTCTTGCAGCAGATACAGGGCCTTTATACCTTTTTAATGAATTTTCATATACAACGAACCTATTTTCGTGCAAGATGCAACTTTGTCGTGATGAGGTCTGAGTCTACATAGTGTATTTACTCGCATAATAGGTGCACTTTTTTTTTTTTTTTTCAGAATATCCGGCTCGAAATTAGGGGTGCGTCAATTACGCGGGGTAAAATTTTTGAAAATGTTTTCAACTCCGTTCTGGCACTTTAAGTCTGCACATTTGTCAAGTAAAAGGTGACTTTATCGTTTACCAATTAATTCAGCGTAAAACAAGCATACCTACGAACCTTTTAATGAACAAGCGAGAGCAGTCAACTGCACGCACACACACACGTAAAATTTATTTACAAAAATGTCATAGGTGTTCCTCGTTTTCCCTATTCGGAGTCACAGTAGGAGAGCACACATTAATCCTTGCCGAGCGGGGATTCCTTTTTGGTGTCCGAATCACCCGCAACCCACAACATGTCATCCTCACTCGCATCCAGTGCGTTCAAGATGCCCATCCTCTTGAAGCTTTTCCTGACGACTTCGTCGGAGATCGTCTGCCACACTTCCACCATCCAAGCGCACAGCATTTTCACAGCCGGCGTTTTAATCTTACCACCTGGAGTCAGGTGATGTTGTCCTCCAGCCATCTATGTGGTGTACAGCCTTCGAACATTGTCCTTGAAGGCTTATTCAAGGACACGTCTAAAGGCTACAGTATCGATGTGAGGCCGCCGGGAATCACTGCCGGATCTGTGCGCAGCTCCTTTAGCTCATCTCGTACGCGGTGTACTAGGTGTCCACGAAAACTGACCAGGACAAGCATGGACGGGAGCAACAGACCATCCGGCCGCCGACCGCAGACTGTTTTCATCCAATTCACCATGAGTTCCGCGCTTATCCAGCCTTTTTCCTGGGCTCTGATTTAGATGCCTTGAGGAAAATTTGCCTTTGGGAGCGTCTTACGTTTAAAAACGTAAGGTGGTAGCTGGCGCCCATCCGCTGTCAGTGCCAGAATTACGGTGATCGTTGTTTATCAGCACGAGACGTTCTGATGACGCTCCGTGCACCTTTCTCTTCCACTGTCGTGTTCCGCGACATTTTAAAGCAAATGGGGGTCTAATCAGCATTGCCGATCTGGGACAAAATGAAGTCTTTCTGCTGTCGGAGCTTTATAACGAAACGGTGAAAGTTCACCACTTTCTCCTCATATGCTGCGGGCAAACGCTGGCACATGGTGGTCCGCTTTTGCTGTGCAAGGCCATGGCATCGCATGAAACGAGGTGTCCGTCCGGAGTTGGCTTTGAACACTTTTGCTTCGATGAGCTGCGCTCAGGCTATTCTGCGCGCCTCAGTCTGCACAATACCGTATATACTCGTGTAAGGGCCGCCCTCGTGTAAGGGCCGCACCCCAACTTTGAAAGCGGATATTTCGAAAAAAAAAAAAAACAAAAGTTCAAAATGTCCCGCCAGAAAAGTGTAGTTAGTTCATTTACAGCCAGATGGCGCTGCACGCTTTTCCGCTTTTATTCTACTTCCGCCGACGCGCCGACCACGCTGTTGACAGCGCGCCGCCATATTTGCCTTGTGCGGCCTCTTTGTTGGCATCGTTCCTAGCATCGTGTCGATACGTTGGCAGCGCGACTTCAGATCGGTGTCGTCGGTGTCACTTTGTTGGTTGTAGTGAACCCTGCAGAAGCCAGCGCACGTGACGGACGATGGGCCGGCATCTGAGATCATTCACTGCAGCATTTAAGCTGCAAGTGATTGACTATGCCGAGGAGCACGGGAAGCGGGAAGCTGGACGAAAGTACGACGTCGATGAGAAGCGCGTGCGTTACTGGATGAATCAGAAAGATGCCCTCGCCGCTACTAACAGGAGCCGAAAGGCGTTTCGCGGGAAAAAGTGCAAGTACCCGCAACTCGAAAGCGAGCTCGTCAACTACGTCGTCGACACACGAAGGGACGGCTACGCCGTATCGACTGACATGATACGCGTCAAAGCCCTCAGCATCGCTCGCCACATGGAAATACCCCCGGCACAATTCAAGGCAAGTCGGGGCTGGGCTACGCGGTTTATGAACCGTAACCAGCTTTCTATTCGGCGCCGAACGACGATTTGCCAAAAACTGCCGCGCGAGTACGAAGACCACGTCATTAAGTTTCATCGCTTCGTGAATGCTCTCAGGAGGGAGCATGAATACGACCTGTCCCAAATTGGGAATGCGGACCAGACACCTGTGTGGTTCGATGCACCGGAAAGCACCACAGTGGATTTAAAAGGTGCGAAAAGTGTGTCTGTGCGCACGACTGGTGCAGAACGCCAAAGGTGCACTGTGATGTTGTGCATCACGGCAGACGGCAGGAGGCTTCCGCCGTACGTCGTATTTAAAAGGAAGACTCTCCCAAAAGAGAAGTTCCCTCAGGGAATCGTCGTACGTGCGCAAGAGAAGGGCTGGATGTCCGAGGAACTGGTCGTTGACTGGATTAAGACCGTCTGGGCAAACAGACCTGGAGGGCTGTTACAACGGAAAGCCCTCCTTGTTTTGGACAGCTTTAGGGGCCACTTGACCGACCGCGTCAAGAACCGAGTTGCCGCAACTCGTACGGACTTGGCCGTCATTCCCGGTGGCCTGACGAGTGTGCTGCAGCCGCTCGACGTATGCGTCAACAGACCATTCAAAGTGGAATTTCGCCGATGTTACTCTGAATGGATGGCTGGAGGCGTCCACGAGAAGACCCCTACAGGACGGCTGAAGCGGGCGTCGCTCCAACAGGTGTGTGAATGGATTTTGAATGCGTGGCGTGCCATGTCAGTAGAAGTAGTTGCTAAAAGCTTCAAGGTAACGGGAATTTCGAACTCCATGAACGGCACCGAAGATGACCGTCTCTGGGAAGACGCGGACGCCGAGGCGAGCTCCTCCGAGAACGAGGACAGCGAAATGGAATCCGAATAAAAACATTTCTGGCATGTCATTTGTGACTCTTGCACTCTGCTACTGTTGCATAAACAGTACAGACCTTTGGCCTGTACTGCCTGTACTAAATCGGCCTGATTCGTGTAAGGGCCGCACCTAGCAAAATTTTCGAAAAAAAAGTGCGGCCCTTACACGAGTATATACGGTATGCAATGACAAGGCATAGCCGTCTTGTTGTAGCTCCCGTATATGCCAGACCAGTTCCTCTTCGACGTTCAGATACCTGCCGGTCTTCGCACCGCGGAAAGCTCGTGGTGTCTTCGTCGCCTTAAGTTTTTCTTCTTGATCTCTCAAGTACCGAATACTGATTTTTCCAACACCGAAATGCCTGCTTGCAGCCCGGTTGCCGGGCTCCAGCGCGTGCTGCACTGCCTTCAGCTTAAATCCAGCCATGTAGCTTGCGTATGTCCCCATGGTGGAACCAAAGTTGAATACACGACCACAACATACGCACACCGCTTGCAAAATGGCGTTTCTGTTTCTCTGATGGTGGTGATGGCGATCGAGTCGACCGCGTTGTACACGTGACCGCCAAGGAGTGCAGCGATTCGGAAGTATCAGTAATTGATGGAGCAGCCTTTCTTGTTTTTTTCGCTCATGGAAGCTTTTTTTTGTTTTATTTTGACAAAAACGTTGTTACGTCGTTTCACTTCAAATTTTTTGATTTGCTCGTTGATTTGCCTTCTATTTTTCTTCAAGGTATGGGGACCGCGTTCCAACCTTCTATTTTTCTTCAGGGTACAGGGACCGTGTTCCAACTGTACTGCTGAGGGGTAGAATCGTTTCTAATCACGGCCAAGCTCGGGGTGCACCTATTATGCACGGAATTAAAAAAATCTAACTTTTGGCGGCCAAGCTAGGGGTGTGCCTATAGTGCAAGTGCGCCGATTATGCGAGTAAATACGGTGTATGCAAATAGTTTCTTCTTTGGACCGACATGAAAGCATCTTGAACTTAGTTCAAAATATAAAAATTTCACTTTGAAGCGATAAAGAACAAAATTTTTGCCACCAAGATTTTCACCCACATTGATAGTTTGAATGGTGAATGCTCAGTCGTCACAACCTTCACTTCAGGCGGCAACTGGAGGAGAATAATTAATTAAATGTGTTTTTTCATACACTGCAGTGTTTGGTGATCATGCCTTGAGCAGGAAGATGTAATGTCTGGCGGTGCTACAACACCGAAAATGGGCATGCCTGCTTTCGCCCACATCTCTCGACTCACTGCGCTGCCATCAGAGTTTTTAGAACCATTACAAACAACACTAGCAGCAGACAGTGCTCCCGGCTGGGGTAAAGCATCGGCACTTTTGTGGAAGGTGACAGAGAGGGAGAAAGGGAAGAGGAGCTCAGGACCATGTCCACCCTGCGTGCTCCTCGGAAAATGTGACGTAATGGGTCTCGCTCGTCTAGAGCCGCCGTATGCTAACAACCCACCAAATACATCCGACTGTTCAAAAATATGTGAAATAAACTGTTTGTTGGAAAAGCCACATCTTCCTAGTACAGTCACACCTCATTAATTCGAACATGCTTAATTCGAACTCGCACTCTGGTCTTGTCAAAGCTATGTGTATTCCAATGGGCGAAAGTACCGGGTAATTTCAACGCACAAGCACTTGTGACAGTCAATTCCAACATACCGCGCTCCGAAAATGCTCTCAGTACCATGCCCAATCCCGCGACGGCACCTCCGACACGTCAAGGCTGCGCACGAAGAAGAAAAAAAAGAGAAGGTTGTGGGGGAATCTTTGCTCTCCCTCAAATGCCAATCTGAGACGCGCCTGTGTCACGCTTCTCTATTTTTTGTCCCTGCCACGTAGAGACCCTTCTCCTTTCAATGCCGTGCGCGAAGAGAGAAAGGGGAAAAGAAGAGAAAGCTGTCGCGGAGTGTGGTGGTGAAGTGGTTAGAAGAGGGGAAAGGCACCTGATTTCTGCAGCCCGGTCGGGAGCACGGCGCAGTGCCTGTTGCGGAGTGTAGGCTCGTCGATCTGCAACAAGCCGGTGCCACACTTCCCCGTTTCAGTCCCTGCCATGTAACGTAACGTAGAGACCCTTGTCCTTTCAGTGCCGCATGCGAAGAGTGCAAGAAAAAAAAAAAAGTTGCCGTGAGTGTTGGTTCTCTCTCAAATGCCAATTTGCTCCTCCCCCTGCGTGGAGATGCTCCTCCTTTCTAGTCATGTGCTGGCCACGCCCTGGCTACGGAGCAGAGGGTAGCAGCGGAGACACAGTCATTGTTGTCGTCTTCAGAGAGTGTTGAGGCTGGACTTAGCCGCGTGCTATTTCTCTTGCCAGGAGAACGCTGACGCCGCAGTTAAAATGCTTTGCAAACCGCGTGCGAAATTTATTGACTTGCTGCAAGGTGGAAGCAAACGTGTGCAGACGTGCATCACTGATTGCTTTAAATAATGACGGATGTTCTGTGATTTGTGAATAAATGTATGTCTTCTGAAGCGTCCCTCTCATGTGTTAGCTCAACGCACATGCGCCACTGCATGGCGAGCTCTCCGTTCATTTAGCTTTCATTAATTCGAACTTCTTTTAACTCGAACAATTATTTTGGGCCCCTTCGAGTTCGAACTATTGAGATTCGGCTGTACAGCTTCGATGTTTTAGTCAGTTCTGGTTTTGTTCAGTATCCCTTTAAATCACAAAAGCACACTGATTCTGAAATAGCCAAGTGAAGGCCTTAAAACTATTCAGTTTAACAGACAAGCATCATAGAAGAGCCTTTACAGACCCCATAATGCATGGCATATATCTTACACTAAGATAACTGCCTCTTGAAGTCTTAACTATTAAAAGCTTCTGCATGTCTGCCACATGTGAGCAGCGCTATGAATAAGAAAAAGAGGGCTCTCAACTCAATCATATTGGTGTGTTCAACTTTTTGTGGTTTCGTTCGAAATGAAAGCTGTCGTGAATCGGCATGATGCCGCTGACATCCTGCTCACCTTTCAGTGGCATCCTGCCTTCATCACTGGTGCTGTCAAGGCTGCAGCACAGTTCTCCACAACAAGGTGGAGAACTGTGCCGTCTTATAATAATGACTGTCTTATAATGATGCTACTTATTTTTGTTTTGTTCGGAATTTTCGTTTGTAATACGAAGGAAATCGCATTAATTTATTCGCTACGCTACGATTGTGTCACAGGCTGATTTTTTTTTTGTTTCTTTGGCAATCTTATACAAGTGCCACAGTATGCGACTCTGTCAGGCCAGTACCACTGAAAGGGATATGAGGTATAGTTGTTACATAAATGGAATGCGGCTTTATCTGTTTCTCCAGCCACCACTCGTGAAGTCTGTAAAGATAGTTATTGCCAGCTGGGCATGAGCTTGGAACATTCCTTCTCACCAGCTAGGGCAAGAGCGTGATGTTTGACGATATTCCAGCGATCTCTGAACGTTACAGCCGCTTGCAGTATAAGTTGACGGTGCTCATCTGTCTGCCGTCTGCAAAATAAAACGAAAATTGCAACTAATGCCACTTAAAAGGGAGATGTTTTGACGCCAGTTCAAAAATATTTGTGACAATTTTTTTTTTTTTTAAAGAGCCAATTGCCTAAACTGAAACTAGGCTAAATTTCTCGGTAATACAAAGCACGCCCAGATGTCTTTAATTTCACGAACAGTTTTAATCAAAGTGGGGTCATTCTTGATTCTAACATGGACTCAAAAAGGCAGTTTTTAATTAAAGAAAAGCACGAAATTTTGCAGCTGTTGCGATCAAACTAAGCCACATTTACTAAACCAGCTTTGCATTAACAATTGTAATCAATACATCTAACATGGTTTCATCAAATCTTTTCCATTTCTGTCTCATTTGCTCTGCTATTGTGTTTACATTCCACAATTAGTTTTTCTCGGGCGAGTTGGCACTTACCGAAGGACGTGTTTATCTAGGACAAAACTCGGCTGACATGTACAAACTTCCTTATACACTTGCAAAATAATAAAAGGCTACGATTGCAACTTTGCCCTCACCTTCCCAACTCATGACTTGTCACAGCGAGGTCCCTGTGGCCTCCTAGTGCACACACCTATGTTCACTAGCTTGGCATGGTTGCGCAGAGCTTGTTTTCATGATGTCTTGTATTTTTTTCTTTACCTTGCACATTAGGGCCGATGGGTCCGTGAAGATTCTCACCAAGGGCGACAACAACTCTGTTGACGACCGAGGCTTATATGCTCCTGGCCAGATGTGGCTCGACAAAAAAGACATTGTCGGCCGGGCAAGGGGGTGAGTTATGGCTTCTCTGCGACACCAGTTGCCTGTGGTTGCCACAGCTAGCCTGTTTATTTTCAGGCTTTCGTTCCTCTTTTTTTTATTGTGATAAGAGACTCTGATGCAAGAAACAAATGGGTATAAAAAGACACCTGTGGGTCTGCATAGAAACTTGAGTTGATAAGAAAAAATGCGTAACCTGCTCATAAAACATGCCTCTTATGAAAGACAAGATTCGCTCCCAGCGCACGTCTCTTATGAAGGAGTTCAAGCGTATGTAGCCCGTTATGGAGCTTACTCAGTATGGCAGGATTTCCATTCTTATTCAGATGTAATCTATGAACTTCGATGCAGTGAAGATACTGCTACATTTTTCGCCCTTTTACCTTATATAATATGCTCCTGCCACCTATTTAGATTGCTTGAGTGAAGTTCGCACTGATTCTGTCCACTTATTTATACATAGTTGAGGTGATCAGGTGTTAAACCCCATGTTTGACTTTTGCATTTTTGTTGGGGAGCATTGGGTGACGGGTGTGTTACACGTTGGTCAACAAAAAATGTGGAGCTCAGTCAGACTAACGCACGGAATATAATTTGCCCGCAGAGATCACTCAGACTCAAACTCGCCAAAATGTATCTTAAGTGGACTCGCTCGGACTCGCATTGGGTGAAATTATTTTAAACCAGACTCACTCACCCAAACTCATCATAGTATTGCTAACTTGGGCTCACTCAGACCCAGACTAACGGCTCGCTCTGAGCCTAGGCGAGGCGACTTGTTCGTTGACATATGACTAGCATCTTTGACGATGGCTTCAATTCTCTGTAACAGCAAAGTCTCCCAAGATTGGTGCTTTACTTGGCACATTTTGATCTTGTACACTTCAGTAGTGGCTGTAATATAGTAAGGCTATCCTTTATTGAAAGAGATAACTCACAAGATAGTTTTAGAGACTTCCCATGAAAGGATTTGCGAGTTGGAGGTTGAGGCAACTCACCCCCTAGCCACCCCCTGTAACTAATGCATTTAGTCAATAATTATTGAGCTGGTATATGAACGCTAGTGCATTCAAATATGTGCGAGTAAATGTGTGTGTAGGCGCAAGCTTGTGTGAGGTTAATAGTAATGCCTAATTGAGCAGTTGTCACCACAGGCTGGCAAAAACGTGGATGAGCTCATTCACTCATGAAATATAGTTTGAGCTTGGGGCGAATTTAGATTCAAGCTCGCCGAAATTTTCCCAGCCGAACTCGCTTGACTCGCGGCCTGATCTGAGTCCGAATGAGTCAATTCGTGAATGGGTTTGGCCGACCTATGGTGTGACATTGCAAATCTTCGTAGACATTTTGCAAAGGTATGCCACGTGTGACTGAGAAACACTACCATATACAGTCAACGTCCGATTTCCCTGACCCTCAAGGGATTGCCATAGCATCCGGAAAAATGAATGCGGCGAGAACACATTTTTTAATAGGTATTTTACGCTGACGGAGAAGGTTGTGGCAGGAGTACAGGATTCTCATTGGAATTCAGCAAATTCAGTGTTAAGGTGACTCTGAAAAGAGCTGAAAGAACGAAAAAAAAAAGTATGTGGCCTGTGCTGCCGCATTTGTAAACACTTAGGCACAAAAAAAAAGTAGCTTATATTTCTTTGCACGGTGTTCCACTTGCTTGCGATGATGTTTGCCTCAATTTCAGTTAACGTAATGCTGGCGTTGTACACTGATGACAATACCGTATTTACTCACGTAATCTTCGCACTCGCATAATTCTCGCACCCCCACATTGCTCAACAAAAATATGATTTCTTTTTTTCCTCCAGTAACTATCGCGTCTCCGAAAACTGCCGCAACAATGTCGTGTGCTCGTTCCAGCAACTGATGATGATAGCACGTGCCATCTCTTAAGCATCAAGCGTACTATTATTGCACAGAGATTCAAGCCAAGCCAAAGTGGCAAGTGTACGTTGGGGCGTGTTTTGTATGTTGTGTCGGTAATCTTGTCACGTTATGGGGCGATACTGAAGCTATACGGCTACTTTCAAGTTGAAAGTGATAGATCATGCACTAAACAACGGCAACAGGGCTGCTGGCAGGCGCTTCGGAGTCTACAAGTTTTGTGTTCGCTACTGGGGACAGCAGCTGAAAGCCACGAAGGCGCGTTGGGCCTGCTGTGTGGCTAAAACTGGGATTGATGGTAAACTTTATTTCTTTAGAAGGAAACTGCGGACAATTTTGTTGAATAGCCATCAGCCTAATACTGACGTTCTACGCTTACCTTTTGGGGGCTCCTGTTGAGCGACGAACGCTACCACTACGCTTGCAACGCCCACAAGCTTTGCGTGTAATATTCTAATTCTCGAATATTTGCTTGCACTTTTTGTGTCTCAAATAAATCTTGCCTTGTGTTGAACCTGTACATTTATTGTTGAGGTAAGTTTCAATTAGTACTTCTCAAAGCTTACTGTTAGTTGCTGGTGTGCGAATCTAGATTTGCGACCACTTCGTTTTCTTTCTCGCTCTGTATGTTTTCGTGAAAAGTTTTTCCCGCGTGATTCTCGCACCCCCCAATTTTGCATCTGTTTTCTGCCAAAAAAAGTGCGAGGATTATGCGAGTAAATACGGTAGTCAGTGCTCAGGCCAACTTCGAGCTCGTTGGCTGTGTAGGCACTACCTCTTTGATCTTGGTGTCGGAGTCGTCTGAATCCTCCGTAACTTGACGAATGATTTCATCATTGGTCAATTTCGTACACAGCTCGAAGTCTTAGTCAGCGTTGGCGAAGCCCCCAAGGGTTATCCTGGCTGAAATCGAAACACCGGCAAAGTGCACGGGTTGAAGATAGTTGCACGCGCGGTCCACTCCAGGCCAGACGGCTGACCGTCTCAGCATCCAGTATAAAGCTCCCGTAACGAAAACAGTTCAGAGGGTCTGTTGCGTAGCCGCCTTCCACGAGCCTGCAAACATGCTGACGACACACTATAGTCCAACAGTGTAGCTTTTTCCTCTGTTGGAGCACAGGCTGTAAAGCACCATACGGTCCTAAGCTACAGCTGGCAACGGATCGGCGTGCGCTGGATTGCGGCATTTTCGGTTATGAGGGTACGGCAGCCCTGGAACAGTGGGTTCGAGGGTCCAAAAAAAAAAAATCGAAATGGCGGCATCGATAGTGACTTCGAGTCTGTGGTTAGCAGTAAAAAGTATGGGAAATTGTGTGGCGAATGCTATGAACATATGGAATTTCGGACTATTTAATACATTCACTCTAAGGGGAACTTGGCGGTGCCACAGATGAGTTCGGAAAATTGGGCGTGTCCGGAATTTCGGGCGTCCCGAGAAATCGGTACGACGACTGTAAATCTGCGCAGTAATTAGCGGTATGTGGAAATCAAGCCTCCAAAGTTATATTTATCACTGCAGGACATCAGTCGTTTATGAATGCCCTATTGAATGTTTGTTTGAATGTTTGTTCATTGGGATCAATTATGAGCAACTGTGTACTCGGGGCTTTTCTCTCGATGCTTCAACTCTGTTGCTTTTGCATTCGGTGCAGACCATTGTTAAAGGGAACATGCAAGTGTGGGGGCTGAAATACACTTCGGTCTCTAGCAAGTTTGGAGCAAATGATTCGCGGTAGGTGGCACTGGTCACCCTATGTGTGAATTCGCAGTTTGTGCCGCCTCTAGTTGCATCTGCAGCTCTTTCATTCACGAAGCCGGATCTGCACATTCGCATAGTGTTCCCTTCACCTCTGGTATGCTGTGCATATTACCTGCTATATAGCACATACTTGGCCACCCTTTGTTTCTTCACTCTTTTCTAATAGCAGCGAACACAATAAAGTTTACAAGCCGGGAAAGTTCTTGCTCTTTAAGTGAAATACCATATGACTGGTTCACGCCTGATAGGTGTCTAATACTTTATTGGTTAAGATGTACAGTAGTTGAGCCTGGTTGTATCGAATTATTTGCCATATTCAATGCTTATAACATTCCTTTCAGTATTTCATGCACAACTAGCATATCACTGTACCGCTCATGTATTGAACTCTTGTTCACCACCACTTTTGAAATATATTGTCTGCTATTGCGCCGATCTGCAGCACAGCAAATTTCTTGCTTCTGGTCTGCTGTTGCTTATCTCATTGAAGAGTTTTATGCTGATTGAATGACACTACAGAGCAGCCGTGGAACAGATATAGACAGTAAAACTTGTGTTGAGTCTAGTTGGTACATAGAAAAATAAAAACTGAACTTCTTTGGTGGGAATAATACGGAAAAATAAAAAAGAGGTGTGGAAAGAAACACTTTTTAGCTATAGACAGGTATGGAAGAAAAATGTGTGTCTCAAGATACGGACGGCTCATCCATAAACAATTTTATTTGCACTCTATAGTGTCAAATTGACCTGCTGCGGTGGTCTAATGCGTACAGGCCTTGACTGCTGACCTGAAGGTTTCAGGATTAAACCCTGGACCTTGGCAGCAGCATTACGTTAGAGGCAATTTGCGAAGGCCTCCACTGCAGCGTGTCTCATATTCATGTTGTTTAGGGACGTAAAATGGCAAGTACTGTCGTATTACAATGACAACTTTACTTTAGAAAGCTGTACTGCTGCACAGCTGTGTAGTACATTAAATAGTGATGGCTGGGAAAAGTAACTTCCGTCAAGCGAAGCATATCACTTGTGCCCATTCAGGATCAAAATGAGGGTTACAACGCTGCTTCAAAAATGTTTCGCAAGTGGGACAGCGTGATGGGCTGCAGTAGCAGTACAAATTCAATCCAGCACTTCTGTGCTTTTGGGTGCCTTCCATACTCGTCATGTCAACTGTCAGAGGTGCCAGAGGATATCACAAGGGGTAATCGCTGTTTTTGGTTGATTTAGGAGTTGCAGTTTGCTTATCACCTGACGCCAGCCTTGTTGTTAGGACTTTACATTTCTCCATGCTACTTCAAAGCTGTAACTGACGGTGCCTGAAGATCTGCTGCTGATGTTTGCAAGCTGCTGTTGTTGTTACTTTACCCTCTCCTTAGAATACTTTCATACAGAGGAAACACACTGGTGTTTGCAGCACAATCAATTGCAAACAGTTGAGCAAAGATATTTCTTACTTATGAACAACTCTGCCATATTTCGTGTTCAGTCACTCTGGTATCTAGGAGTGTGCCTGACTCGCAATCTTTCATGGTCACTTCAATTACGTCTATCTGTGCTAAAGCATCACAAACTTTCTTTTTTCACACTCGCCATAATCTGTATAAATCAGTAACTAATATGCAAGTTAGCGCACCTAATGTTCTTTTTCCCACAGTTATTTGTGTAATTGATATGGTCCCCTCATCCAACTTTCAGGGTGTAGAAAAGTTTGCCATCTGTTTCATTACTCGCAATTACTAGTGCGAGTCCTGTATTACGAAAATAAAGGAGGAACATTTCTTGCACCCTCTTCAGGTTTGCCAGTGCCTCATCCTTTTGTCTGCTTCACAGATACACTAACAGCATGACACGTTCCCTCCCTTTGGTAACTCTACTGTGCATGTCTGTACGGCTATATAATCGAGCACCTTCAACGTATCTGGCAAAATGAGTAGTTTTCATCACTAATTACAAAGCATTTCATGACCATCTACTCGGACATTTCATGCTTACGTAGTTTCTTGCTCGATTGCCTATTTAATTATGTTCCCGATCTGTTTCCTTGTACAGCAGTTTGCCGTTGCATTATACTATCAAAAAGAACCAGCAGTCTTAGAGTTGAAGCACTTGATAAACGCAATTTCTCACTTTCCTCTCTGCGACGAATCCATTGATTCACAGTTATTGTAGCCAGGGAAAACGCTCGTGATAAACTTCTGAGCACAATGCCTTGGGCACCAACGGGAACTTTGGCACCGGGTAGCTGGTCACATTGGAGTTAAGTTTTTCTTGTATATTTCAAGCATTGCTGCAGATGTATCAACTATCTCTGGCTGGAGGAATTAAGCGTCTTGAAGGTAGTGGTGCTGAAATGAATTGCTAAATATCTTCTCTATGGGCGTTTAAGGCTTAAATACAATTTACACTTTATTAGGCATCCTCTCTTTATTCTGTCCTTATTACAAGGTAAAAGGAGTTAACGCTGAGAAGCAACGCTGTCTCAGCGGCAATTCATGCAAATGAAAAGTCACGTTGAGCAGTGGCATCTGCGTGGTGTACTGATGCACAGGAATAAGAACCACCACAACGCAAATTTAATTGACAGGTCCTCACTCGTACTTGTCTGCTAGCTTATAATCACAATCGAACTACTGTTTGCAGCCTGTGTTGCAAGTATGACTTCATTGTTACAGCAGATAGGTTCTGACGAAAGGCACCTGCCAGCATTTTCACGTTACCATTTCATAATTACACATACTGACCAATAGCTTTCTACTGCACTGAAGAAAACGGATACTATAAACATTGATTCAGTCTCTTTACAGCGCTAAATAGATACATTACATTAAGCGAGCATTATTTTGCCTTGAATAGATGTTGAGAGGGACATGAGCGCCCCCAACAGTTGGGAGGAGGTGCTGGAGCTGACTGGCCTGACAAAAAGTTGACGTGCTCGTTTTTTTGTTGTTGTTCTGGGCTTGTGGTGTAATGTCATCACGGTAAAACATACAGCCGCCCTAGTCACAACCATAGTTTTACTTTGATGAGGCTGCATCCCGCACCCATGCAAGGAGCAACGAACTTTACAGTCATTTACGTACAAAGTGGTGCTAGAGGTGGTGGCGGTTAATTCTCTTTGTGAATGCTCCCACAGTAGCTCTTTCGTTACTTTGCTTCATTTAATAGTCTATGTGAGAGATCGCATTAATAGTCTTTTCGCAGCTTTCTAGTTCTGTCTGTTCAAATGGTAGCTGCATTCTTTCCCATCATCTTTGTACATCAGCTGCTGGTCATAGTTTTATGTGACCATCTTCCTCACTTGTATCGCCTGCACATTGGAGGTTTCACGCCCTCGCGATCTTTTCAGACAGGCAGGTATTTTTTAGTGCCATATGAAATGCAGCGGTAACCTTTGTGTGGTGCTATGCTACATTATAAATTTTTAACAGCTGAAACATTCATTTCTTGATTTCATGAACTTCCCAGTTTAAGGAAATGATTCAAGCGCACATGTGGCTTCTTTAAACCAAGTTTCAACTCTAGATGTGCTCGTGAACTTTCCTTTGGCTATTAAGGAAGAAAATCAAATTGAGGCAGTGTAAATACAGCACATTGAAATCTACGACCTCTTGCTATTGTACCAGTGAGAAAGCTTTGGCATCAAATTGAAGAAGAAATAATTGGCCTCCATTTTCTATAGTTCAAAGCTTTTCTAGAATTCTCGCCGGATTATAGAAATCTGGTTTTTAAATAATGGTATTACCAGCCTAAACTATTCCGTAGTTGTGCTTTAGTGCACATTTAGGGACCCTAGCTGTTTATTTGAAGTGTCCAGCTGGTATAGACTGTAAGGGGTTTAGCAGAAATAGAACCTGTGGAATGTCATCTAACATATGTCGTTTCATAGTGAGGTTGATTGCGTGCTCACCAACAGCTGTAGTATGACATCAGCTGTGGGAGATTTCCGCCTCTTGCCGTCATTGTTAAGCAACAGATGCCATAAATATACATTTCGCTGGGGAGATCAGTGTTGAATTCTTTCATATTACTATCAAACATGCAGAAGGACTACAGAGCAATTTTCAATAGATATAATATTAATAGACTAGAGGGACATAATATTTAGAATACTATTGCGCTAATGCAGGTTCCACATCACAGACAAGTTTTTCAAAAGGAATTTCCCCTCTGCCTACCTGTACCACCCGTACACACGTGGTGTCTGCACAGATAGTCAGATTATTTTTTCAGCGATGCAATGAATGGAGTGCTGACACAACCCTCGCCCACCCAGTGAATTTCTAGAGTTTCTATTGCCTCCCTTTCTTTTTGTTAACCTCCAGTGGGAATCACAAAAGTAGCACCATATGCCGGGGTTCAACCTTCGCACTTTTTGCAATGCATCGCCTATAATTCTTCCCTTGATAGCAATCTAACAGCCGAATGATACTAAGCCATTCATTGGTGCATCTGCCCATTTGGCTTTTTATACACTTTGCTGCAGGCAAGTGAAATGGAGTACACGACTCCTATTCTATGAGCTGTAAACTTTGATTGGTGCTTCTCGGAACAGCACGGCTTCTCAGGTTCCAACGCTGTGGAGCATAGCTGTGCAGCCTTATGAGGAGCTGTGAACAGGATGCCAAGACCACACTTTTGCACCACTTGCTTGAGCCGATGGAATGGGCATTGGATGTTGTTATCAGTGCTGTCCATCCAATACGATCGAGCACCATACAATATTCGCTGCTGCTTCATAGTTCAGCTGAGACGTTCTTCAAAAAAATTTTTGCCAGGAGTGTGTGAGCTCCACTAATTCCACATTCGTTCAAACATGCTTCTCCGCTCTGAGGAGAAGGTCACAGTAATATGAACACATTTGCATATTCCATTAATCTGAAAGGAATATTGATGTTTGCCTGTTTGACTACATCGTGGTTGGCTGCAGATATGAAAATATTGAAAGAGGGGAAGGCTTATCTTTTTCATTAGTTGTAAAACTGTGCGGTGAAGGGAAAATGGTAAACAAGTTATAATGAGTGTTTGCAGATTTACTTATAGTAAGCTTGAATGTGTTCACTTATTTTTCATTACAGGTTCGTCCCATACGTCGGTATTGTTACGATATTAATGAACGACTATCCAAAGTTTAAGGCAAGTATAGAGCAGCTTTGTTGCTTGTCCATTCCTCTTTGCTGGGTTGTTTCTTTCTAGTATACATGTTAGTAAGTTTATGTGTATGCCTCGGAATCACTTCATCACTTCTCATTGTGTGTCACGTTCTGAAGGAGAATTCGAGCAAAGCTAGGAAAGAATAACGGCTGAGTATCCTATGCAACCAATCTGTGACTGCAGCAACATCTGCATGACGCAGTTACAATCAGAGTGACTGTAAACATGCAGCCAGAGTTGAAATGTACAGATTTCAGCCTTTAACAGTTCTCTTCACCAGAATTGAACCTGTATGTATCCCCTTCAGCATAGAATAGGCCCAGTGAACCAGACAAGTTTGGGCAGCCACTATCAATGGATTTGAATTGAGGCATGGGCATAGGATGAAACAATTGTGCACTCTTTCGCTGACACAGTAATGTTTAACTCAGTGAGTTCATACAGTGCTCATTAGAAACAGCGACACCAATAAAATGTTCGTTCAAGAATTAATAGTATTTGTATGTTGGCCATCTGAGTTAATAACAGGACATAGTCCTCAAACATTCATGACTGTTGCGCAACACACACACGGATTAGAAAGAAACACCAAAGCCCATAGTGTCTATTTCGATCTCTGTGTGTATATGCAAAAATATGAATCGGTTTCACCTTCTGCAGTTGTTGGTATTGCCTCAAGCATGCCTTTATCAAACAAGTGCATGACCAAAGCCTGCTATGTGTTATCATATGCAGTACAGTCCCAGCGACTTGTTCTGTTACAGGTTGCGAGTGCACTAGTGTTGTCAGCCCTGTTTGTGCAGCTGACCACGAAACAATATCGTTAGCCGAAATACAGACGCTTGCAATGCAAGCGACTCGTTACGTTACAGGTCGCGAGCGACTCGTTACGTTACAGGTCGCGAGCGACTCGTTACGTTACAGGTCGCGAGCGACTCTCTTGTTGCACGCATTGTTATAAAAAAAAGCTCTTTATAAATTAAGTGCTCGACTAAATGCACTGGAGTTTCGCCAAGTTGTTTGTGAGCACCCAAAGATTAACCTGCCGACCACAGATTATGAGCGAAAATGGGGTGTCGTGGCCCCTGTAAGAATGCAAGCAAGGCTAGGAGGCAAGCAAAGGGGACTATATTTGTCTTTCGTGTATGTAAATAAAATTTCATCTGGATATTTTTATGCCAAGTTCACATGTTCTGTTTGACTTTTTCATGCACTAGTTTGCTGTGCATGCACATATGCAATACCGCAAAAGCAGTAACAGTACTGGTCATGGAGCGTCAATCGTAAGCTATAACATCATAGAAAGGCATACAAAGAAAAGTTACTCAAACTTGATCATAATGTCGGCAGCTTTTATATGTTTGCCAAGTTGAAGTGCAAAAATATGTTACTCATGCCAGAGTGAGCCATTGCTTCAAGCCTTCAGTATCGTGGAATGCCGAGCAAAGCAAGCTCACCCCCCCCCCCCCTTTCTCCAAAGGGGAAGAATAATTCTACCAGATTTGGAGAGAGGGCGCTTGCTCGGCCCCGGACCGGGTCATTAAGTCTTATTTCATGCTTATTTCAGATCTCCCAAAAAATTGAGGACGGTCTTGCTCGGCATTTCATTGTAGTTGCCAATATGGAAATGTTTTGCAGGAAATGGCTACAAAACACTAAGCAGATGTTTCTTAATTTTGTTAGTATTGATACCATGACATAGATGACCAGGGTATGCAGCTTGCAAGATTACACTGTTCCATTGAAGCAGAGAGCATTTTCTGTGAAATAACAAAATATTTTACATTCTACAGGTGTTTACTTAGCGATTAACTATGATAACCGCTGCGTGCACTTCAGCCATGGATGCAGCAAGCTAATAAACACCACATGTAGTGCGTTTTGTGCAGTTTTCTCTTAACCTGCAACTGTCATTACTGGCTACACTAGCAGCTTTAGCACTATGTAGCACTCCCAAGTGTGCATAACTATCTAAAGCTCCAATCTCTTACACATAGTGCCTTGCATTTTTTTATTTTTGTGGGCTTGGAATTTGTAACTTCTGGATGCATTTTCATGGTATGTCTTATGATGGTCAATAAAAGTGCTTCTTCGTTTTTTTTTTGCAGTTCCTTGTGCTAGGATGTCTCGGATTATTTGTGTTGGTTCATCGGGAATAGGACTGGCTGCGTTGTGACGCTCACTGCCGCCGACATCAACTGTTGTGGAACTGCGCAGTGTTGTGGAACTGTGCAAGTTGATAGCGAGGGACTTTCTTCATCCTCGCTGAATGCCCGCATGCTGATTTAGTGGCTGCATGCCATGCATTTTGTTTCGTTTTCATTCTGTCCAAGATGGAGGAAAAGTTTTGTCAAGGTGTTCACGCTGCGGGCACCTTTGTATGCGTGTTATACAACCCAAAATCAGGCAATGTTCACTATTGGAACAAAAACAAGGCAAAAGACATACCATACTTATCTATGTTATAAATATATGTCATCACATCGCATCTTTGTATGGGTGGTTGGAGCACATGGAACTGAAATAAACGTAACTGTGTTTTTTCTTTTTTCTTTGTCCGGCAACTTCATTTCTGGCTTTGTTAATTTTGATTTTGTGTGGTCTACCTACTACATGCATAGTTGGAAGCAGGTAAAAAAATCTAAGGGTCCATCTACTACTGTGAGGACGGCAGCCACTGGCACACTAGCCTCCATCATGGAGGGAATAGTTTTGTCCACTGGATATAAAATCGCGGGCTAACTTTCTTCATGATGCTTGTCCATTGTGTTCACAGTAGGCATCTATTACTGCATGGTATTGTTTGATATGAAGTAGTGCTGACAAGGGCCCTATTGGCGCCTCAACAGCATGGACAACCGGCATGACCTCATCCTCTATTTGATGCTGACAGTTTGCACTGAATGGAAAATGAGGGCATCCTCATTCTTTTGGTTGTCAGAGCAGTGCAGATAAAAAGAGAAACAGAGTTCTCTATCTGGGCATGATGCATCGAATATGAAAAAAAAATTAAATTTGGCCACTAGACAGATGCAATGATTTCAATAGCAACAAATTGGAATCTTGTTCAAAATCAGATGAGCAGATAGATATCTGACATGGTGTAACTCAACAGAACTCTGGTGTAAGGAAGTGGGGCTGCTGCAGTGAGCAAAGGAACCATCGTGCTGGCTATCACCTGGGCAAACTGGGGGGGCCAATACACAGCACATAAAAAGGCGTGGGTCAAATGGGCAGGTGGAATAGGACAAAATGGCATGGTAATGGCCACCAAACAAGGGGAAAAGCTCAGTTTGGCAACTCTTGATCATCATCATTGTGAAAAACTTGGAGGTTAGTTGAAACATACACCAGTGGTGGCACAGTGAACTTGGGGAAAAAGAAAGTGGAAGTATAAGGCAAAAGAAGTGCTGTACAGCTGTAGTCGCTCACTTCACCACTAGACTACACCGATGTGTGCAAGTGCCCCAGCGAGCTGACCAAAACTGTTATTCTGGTTCGCTTGAGACCAGACGACGAAGTCGCATAGGCCTTTACATTTGCCGGAGATGATTCGAAGTTAAATGCAATCATTTTTTTTAGGGGCGAAGCTCCTTAGGGCGTGGGCTGTGCGTCCCCTGTAGCCTGTATGTAGCCACCTCTAGTTTAGTTCTTGCAGTGTTCACTAGATGGCGGTACCGTCCCTTGTATGTAGCCACCTCTAGTTTAGTTCTTGCAGTGTTCACTAGATGGCGGTACCGTCTCCTGTATGTAGCCACCTCTCGTTTAGTTCTTGTAGTGTTTACTAGATGGTGGTACTTGTAGCTGATGATGAAAAGATGCAAGATGTTATAAACTAGAAAGCGGTACTTGTAGTTGATGAAAGACGCGAGATCTTATAAAATAGGAATGATGTCACATATGGCGCGTGTCATTGTTTGAAGGCAATCGTTCGATTTAGTGTGGCGACGTACGCTAGGGGGAGCGATGTAATAAAATCGAGTGGGCAAAATGTACAGAGGATTCATGGTTTACCAGGTTTACCTCCGGAGCTTCGCCCACTCATCATCATTCACTTCGTGGATATGGCGGAATTGTTTGTCTGCCAATCGTATTGATCTCCTCCTCTGTGAGACCTTTCTGCGCCCAATGTGGTTTTTCAGTGCATCCAGGATTGACCCACTTTTGATCAAGTGAAGATGTCATGTGATGAATTCGTGTGACGCCATGCTGCCATTTTTTAATCACTCGTTTTTACGACGCCGATAGTTACCCTCAGCGTTTGATGAGGCACCGAAGCCGTTAAGGCTTAAGATGACTTTAAAATGGACGGTCGACCACTACATTTTTGCTGAGTCCGAATTGGCTAGCTAAATTAACAAGGGTAACATCAGGTGGTGTTTGCGTGGCTACGAAAGGCGTAGCGATCATGGCAAGTTTTTTTTTAGTATTTCGGAAGCCTGTCGCTGAGCACAGTAATTTGGGGTGTCAAAAACACATCCATATTTGTTTCGTGTTATATAGCCTAAGATAGTGACTGGTAGTAAGGTCCACTGATTCAGCAGTGGAGGTCGGGTGGTCGGCTGCAGGCCTGAGGCACGTTGTACGGAGCGGGCGAAGACGGCTTAGTTGCAGGCCTAAGCAAGGCGTGCGTACGGGAGGGGGGCGCCACCCTGGTCAGCCAAGAGTGGGCGTGCAAAAGTCAACTCTGTATATTGATAAAATAGGGAAGGGGGCGCAGTGGCGAACCTTCATCTCTCGAAGAGGAACCCTGCGCACGCTTATGGGCTTGAGCAAGTTCACAAGTCACCGATACCGAGGAATGTCCATCCCGAGCACAATCGTGGTAGGCGAAGGGCTAGAGCTGCCACTCTTCTCAAGCAGATCCACAGTGAGGAGCGTGGCGGCAGCGTACCGCGAGAGCCGCGCCAATTCCGCAGTCGTCGTCGACTCCAAACAGCAAATCACCAACTGCGCATCGGTTCACACTGATGATCCAACGATTGCCGAGCAAGTGACCATCGCCCTGGCCATCCTGGACGGTGAAAGGGAGGTCATTTATAGTGAGTCTAGGTCAGCTATTCGCGCTTTCGAGCGCGGTGTCGTCTCCAAGAAAGACCTGCGCGTGCTCCAGAGCGGCGGCCGCGATGGTATTAAGCATCACGTACTGATCTGGCTTTGTGCACATGTTGGACAGGTCCAAGGCGCTCTGCTCTCCCCTACCTCAACGAGTCTGCTCACGAGACCGCGCGCGCGCTAACCGACCGCGCCGGTTCCGGGCAACAATTTGGTGTTGCGGAAAACAGTGACGTGCCTGCCACGTACAGCGAAATAAAAAATTTTTACTTGGCGCGAAGACTATATCCACTCCCTCATCCAGAACTTAATAGGCCACAGACCCTTACGCTCCGACTACTGCAGACCGACACTTACCCAAACCTGAGATCTCTTCACGCTATTTATCCTGACGTGTTCCCCTGTGACGCTTTCTTCGCATGTGGGGATGCATCCACGCTGGTGCACATGCTCTGGGAGTGCAAGGCAATGTGCACTAACCCCGACACTACATCGGTCAAGTGGGACGCGACCCTAGGCAGCTCCCTTTTGGCCGACCAACTTTGGACTGTCCAGCAGGCCCGCGGAGCGGCCGATAGGCTTGGCTTAGCGGTCCGTACGTGGGAGTCACCCGCTGAGCGCTGACGCGTGCCTTGCAGGACCACAATAAAGTTTCGCAACCAACCAACCGATGGGCTTTTCTGAAGAGTACTTTGTTGCTTTAATTTTGCTATCTCTTTGGCTGGGGTTTAGGAGTGCCACAAATCCATTTCGCTGAACTTCATAACTTGTTGTATCATCATCACCATCATCTTAAGTAAAGCTATAGCTGGATGAAGTATAGAGCGAGATCACACGTCTATCACGCCGCTCCCGGGTGTGATCCAAGTCAAGATCCTTGACGATGTGGCACATACCCACGCTGGAGGATTGGCCAAGAACCGGATAGTTTTCATGAATTTATTCCTAATAACAGGTTAAGATTGATCTATTTACGAGAAATAAAAGAAAGATGCAACAGGACGAATTTGATGGCTGAATTGTAAATGATCTGTACTGTAATGCAATAAAGCGGCGTATTTGATTTAATGTGAATTTGGAAATGTCAAAACCTACTGAAGAATAATTTCAACACTTAAACCTCTTTGAACTTTTGACGAACTTCTGCAATGCGTCAACAATCTACCCGTTGCTGTGGCCAAGAGACAAAGCCCCAAAAGAAAGCAAATTTTGAACATTAGGTATGATTCCGAGAAGGTGGAAAACGGCACCTAAAGTGCTTTTAAATGCGAAGCATTTCTTAGCGAACTTCGGCGACTTTGAACGTATCTATCTATCTATCTATCTATCTATCTATCTATCTATCTATCTATCTATCTATATCTATCTATCTATCTATCTATCTATCTAATCTATCTATCTATCTATCTATCTATCTATCTATCTATCTATCTATCTATCTATCTATCTATCTATCTATCTATCTATCTATCTATCTATCTATCTATCTATCTATCTATCTATCTATCTATCTATCTATCTATCTATCTATCTATCTATCTATCTATCTATCTATCTATCTATCTATCTATCTATCTATCTATCTATTGTTACGAAGCGCGCCTCCGACGACGTTACGAAGGGCGCCACGAATTTCACCGCTGCAACCACTGTTTACGAAAGACGGCAACGCCAACACGGTCCCGAAGACGTCACTGCTTCGAACTCCGCCTGGAAGGTCACCAGCTGTTTGGTAGCGTAGGTTTCTCAGCTCGCGACTGCTTCTGCGCAGAGCTGATAGACGAGCCGGCAAGACGACAGCGAGTTAAACAAGGTTTATGTACAGCATATATACAGAGGTGTTACAAATTCGGCACTGACGCCGAGAGACTCGGACAGCCGAACTCTCTCCTCTTGCACATAGGTCTACTGCTCGCGACGCGCCGCAGGGCTATTTTTATATGCACCGGGTGGATTCTTTCAGTAACCAAATGTCCAACCAGAAGCACCGCTGGTCGTGAGGTCAGAATCCTCCAATAGGGTCGCCTCTGGGCCGCGTCATTTTCATCAAATCTGGAGCCGCTGTGCTGCACCTGGCTGCACCCAAGGACGAGTGACGTCGCCACGCATTGCGTCAAACTCGCCAGACAGAAAGGTGCCGATTGCTTCGACTGGCTCGCTGGCTGAGGTGACTCACTGTGCGTGCGCGGCAGAAAGGCACCGTCTGGTGATGACGCCGTTGAGTTGTTCGCGTCAGGCGGGCTCGCGTGCTGGCCTGGACACAGATTGCCTTTTCCAGAGGCATGGACGTTCGCTGTGGACTCGCAGGCATAACAGCACCCCCACCGCCAGACAATGCGCCGGAAAGACGAGCTGCTTCCACGTGGCTCGGATGTCAGGCGCGCTCGTTCGCCAGGTCCCTCCAGGTTCGCCTCCAGGGCCATGGGGAGAATGCAGCTCCAGACTCTGTTCCGGGAACACATCCCATTCTCGAGGACGGATTCCAGCTCCAC